GATGTTTTCTGAGCTGTAGGCCTATGACGGTGCATTTTTCTGTATATATATTTTTACTTTTGTAAAGAGTTAAAAATCTGCATGTGATCTTTACTAGGAAATGTCCCCCACAAATTCTGGAGGAAGAGCATCTTCGAGGCCCCGAGAATCTGTGACAGAGAACTGTTAGTGCTGCCACCTCGCAGCGTGCTCACATGCACATACTGCTCCCTCCAAAGACAGCAAGTAGCCAGGGACCGCAGTTAAGGCAGTCACCTCCTGGCCTGGCAGGGCAGAGACTCAGAGGGACCTGGTCCTTTCCTCTGTCCTGTGGCCACCGCCACTGCACAGTCCTGCAGTCTTTTTAAAATCAAAATATTGAACATGGCTCAGGATCTTCCAACTTGAGAGGACAGCGACTTAAGACAGAAGAGAGTAGCTGGGTTTCAAAGCGGTGGCCCAAGTTCACCTTTTAAAAGTCCCCTGACACACCACCACTAAGAAGGCTTTTCATTAAGGGTCTCAATAATTCATTTATTCTTCAGCATTGATTCCTTCCAGCCCTTAATCACTGTGATTACTATTAAATTCTTAAAATTAAGACTTCCTAATTACTACAAATACCTAGAACTACCAAGGAAATAAAAATGTATTCACAGAACTAAAGTGACATCTCATTACTATTCAGGATCAGTCTTAGTTGAAAACAAAATTGATTTTGATGCAGTTGAGTTGTACACTTTAATCACTGAATGAGAAGTTCCAGATAAACACAACACCTGGGCAGAAACAAGCGACTTTCACCTTTCTGTGTAAGATGAGTAGGTCGGATGTTCCTGCTGGAAAGAGCCAGGAATCTAGGATCTACGCTTCATGTCTGCCTAAAATCAAAAGTAGAATCAAGGATTGGGGTGGCTAGGCTTGGACTTCTCCCAGTCAGACCACCCTGCCCTAACCACACCTCAGTTGACCACGCAGAAGTTCTTGGAGAAGAAAAAAGATTCCTGTGAGGGGAGGCAGGGACGTGGCCAACTCCCCCACTCTTGTCTGATAAAGTCTGACCAAGAGAAAAGAACATGTAATGCCAACAAGAAAAGAATGCTCCCCACACTAAGGAACACTCTTCTTCTCTTCTTCACTAAACACAAAATTCACCTCCTTTCAGAGTAAGCCAGCACCCAGTTCAAACCCCAAACAACGCTTTGTTTCCTGGAGGGTGTGTCCCTCTGCATGCTCAATTTTCTGCCAACCCCACCTCAGCTCATCAGGGAGATAAAGGATGTGACAGCCAAGCCTCCTCCTGGGAGCCTTGAACACCAGGGAAGGGCCTGGTCCTGGAGAGGTGCCGAAGACAACAGGCTTTGGAGAAATGGTGGCCCTGAGACCCACCTAACCAGCCTGGAGATGTAGGGCTCCCAGGAGAAAGCCAACACCCAAACCTCCCCTGAGGCTCGCTTCAAGCCCCTGGCCTCGCTGGCACAGCAGGACTGGCTGCATTTGACAGCGGCCTCTGCACGGGACTGTCAATTTCTCAACTGGAGCCAGGCTGGAGGGAATCCAAAAATCACTTGCATTTGGCTCTGGAATATATTTGTGTGTTTATATTTGATGCTCTAGGAATCTAGACTACTTCAGGCTGGATAATAAACTCACAGAACCTGAGCGCTTGCTCAGCAAGAATGGGCATCTACAGTGTGCCAGTCATTGCCCTTGACACTGCAAATACACCAGGAAACACCTCCCTGTGTGGGGGCAACGCTCTAGTGGAGCAGGTGACAAAGGTCAAATATGGAGTATGTCAGATGATGATGGAGAGAAAGCAATGAAGAAGAGAGGGATGGAGTGGGGGTGGGCATCCGAGACTGCCACTTTAAATAGCATGGTCAACAGACCTGAAGCAGATGGGGGAGTCAACCATGTGTCCATCTAGGAAAAGCTCCCCAGATAGAGGTGCAAAGGCCTGAGGAAGAAGCATGCCTGAGGAACAGAGAAGGGCCTATGTGGCTGGAGCAGAAGACAGGAAGACGGAGTTAAGCCAGAGCAAAAGTGGGGCTGTCAGAGGCCACTGCTGACCCTGGTCAAGGTGGGGGAAATTCTGAACAAAAAGAACAGCATGATCTGCTCTGGGAATAGACTAGAAGGCAGGGGTGTAGGCCAAAGCAGAGACCACTGGAGGCCCCTCAGGGTCACCAATGCCCAAGCACATCATGTGGACTGGGGTCAGATGATGGTGAACAAAGGCACAGCCTGGCCCAAAGGACAACAGTGGCTGTCACACAAGAAAGCTCACCTGGTGTGGCCAAAAGTTCCCATTTTTCCCTAAGGAACTAAAAAAAAATTAGGTTTTTCTTTTTTTGAGTCGGAGTCTCACTCTGTCACCAGGCTGGAGTGCAGTGGCACACTCACAGCCACCACAGCCTCAACCTGCTGGGCTCAGGCAATCCTTCCGCCTCAGCCTTCCAAGTAGCTAGAACTACAGGCATGTGCTACCACACCCGGCATTTTTTTTTTTTAATTGTAGAGATGAGGTCTCACCAAGTTGCCCAGGCTGGTCACGAACCCCTAAGCTCAGGCAATCCTCTCGCCTCGGTCTCCCAAAGTGCTAGGATTACAGGCTTGAGCCACTACACCCAGTCTAAAGTTTAGATTTTTTTTTTTTTTTTTTGAGTTGGAGTCTCACTCTGTCACCCAGACTGGAGTGTAGTGGCCGCTCCCAGCCACCGCAGCCTCAACCTGCTGGGCTCTGGTGATCCTTCCGCCTCAGCCTTCCAAGTAGCCGGAATTACAGGCATGCGCTACCACGCCCGGCTGATTTTTTTGATTTACTGTAGAGATGAGGTCTCGCTGCCCAGGCGGGTCTCGAACCCGCGGGCTCAGGCAATCCACTCACCTCAGCCTTTACAGGCTGAGCCACCGAGCCCAGCTAAAATTTAGATTTTAATGAAAAAAATTATCCACTTTTAAATGGCGGCTCAATTGTTTAATAACATGGAGTTGGTCAGACGACCCTCAAGTGCAGGCCAAGTTCAGTCCTAGGGGACCCCAGCTTGAAACCCCTCAAGATGGCCTAGCACAGACCTATTTGCTTATACCTTGCCAAGGATGAAGTGGAGAATTCGAGATCTGAATTCAAGATGGTCCTCATTCCAACTTTTGAGTCAGCAGATGACAGTCATTATCACTATAAATAGCTAATAACTTCGGGCAGACTCAGTGGGCCACCTTTCTGACCAGAGAACAAGCAGCTCTCCATCATTCAGCTTCTTCATTTAAAGTTAAACTTTGCTTTTACATTATTCTATGCACAGTACTAAGATGAGTCCATGAGTAAAGCACAAATTCAAAAATCCTTCCCCAGTGGTCCTTTCAACATTATATGGAGCATAAATAACAGAGCCTTGCAAATAGTCGCCGGCCTAGGAATCAACTTATGCAAGCCAAGAGCCAAATACACTGGAACTCCAACATACGGGGACTGGTAAGGTTCGGGGACTGGGAAAATTTAGAAATTACTAAATGCTCTCTATAAAGGAAAGTTTTGCCCATTGCTAAGACAGGTGGAAGATACATGTTACCTAAAATACGCAAAGTAAACACACACGTGTCTAGATACGCAAAGGAAACACACACGTGTCTGGATTCTAGACATAGAAACCTGAATGCCTGTTTCAGGGATTCATCCAGAATTTGCCTAAGAAGAGTCTCCTAAGCGGTCCCTGAGTTGATTTTTTTGTATGCCAAGTGGCCCTCCCTGCCCAGGCACTCTCACTTAGAATTACCCTCCTTGCAAGTCATATGCTTGAGACCAAATATCTATTTATTTTGTGTTTGATACATACGGGTACTAGGCAAAAATCCCTCCAGGGCAAGGCCACTGTCTGTGCTGCCCCCTCACACCCCTTTTTCTTGGAATGCAGTTTATAATGCACACACAGGGTTTGGACAAATGCTTTCCCAAGGTGATATCTTGTTAGGTTGAAGTGTAAGAACTGCTGTTAGTCAACTGGTTTTGGCCCACAGAAGGAGCAATTTCATATGGTCCAACATAATACTACACCACCAAGAGGAACATAGAGACTTGAATGTCGAGAGACTTCTAAATCAGTGCTGTCCCATAGAACTTTCTGTGATGATGGAAATTATCTGCATCCACAATGATTAACAGGTGACCACTGAGCACTTGAAATGTGGCCAATTGACTAAAACTACGCTTTGTATTTCATTTAATTGTCTTAAACTTTAATTGCAACATGTGGCTACTGCACTGGCCAACACAGTTCTATAACTATGTCTCACATGCCTGTACTTAGTGTTCAAAGGCCTAACAGGTGTGCTGTCTACCTCGTTTAATCAATATTTACTATGTTATAGGCCAGACTTTAACTCCTGCAGGACCAGGATGTGCCTTCATAATTCGGACTGACAATTTTTTTCTTCTGAAATAAGATTTAAGCCAAAAAAAAAAAAACCCTGGTATCTCAAAAAGAACTGTTGCTTCTCGGCCTTTTGGTGTCATTCATCTATTAGTTAAAACTCCTAAGGATAAAAGAACAAGGAAGGAGAGTCTGGGGTCCTGACACTTTTAAAAGGTGGCCCTGCTACATAATAAACCAATATTCCAATTCAATCATTTGCATTCAACCATTTAAACTGAGTTTGGCGCTATATAATTATTGCAGCCTGTTGAGTTAGGGCTCATTTCAGCAAAGAGCATAATTGCTCAAATGTGACTTGATTCAGGATTTATCTAAAACTCTCCCATCACCAAAAAAATATTCACACACCATGGGACCACTGTAACTTCAACATCTCTTTGTAAATGTTCAGAGGCTGGTGATTCCTGAATATGAAAGCAGAGTTCTGCTATAACACAGTGCCCAGAGCTACTGGAAGACTCTGCTTACGAACCCCAAAACCCCTTTCTTGTGCCCTCTCTCCCAACCCTGGCCTCCTCCTGGCAGGGACTGCCCAGAGCCTGCAAGCCAGCTCTGCAGCTTCATAGAAGGGGACACCTGACCTACTAGGAGGCCTGCCCCAGCCTGTGCTTCTAGAGAGAAGAAAGTGGCACCTCCAGGACCTCAGAACCGGAAGCTTCTTTCTGGAAGGGAAACAGGTTGGCAGACCATAGGTGGGACTGACCTTTGGAAAGTTCATAAATGAATTAACACATCACCGCAGTAAGTAGCATGCTGCAGGCTCACCCAAGATTTCTCTGGGTGTCAGATTAACGGGAGGCTGAGACAAAGGCAGAAGGCAGGGTGGTGGGAGAAAGCGCCCCTGCAGCACAGGGCCCTTGCGAATCAAGCAGCTGTTCTTCCTGGGAGTGCTGGAGGGAAGATCTGGGTCTCCGGGGAAACCAAGTTCCCAAGAGATATTTGTATCTAGCCAGGGATGTGAGGCCCTACTGGACCCATTTCCCCAAATTCCAGAAAATGCCACCCAGATGGCCCCTGCCCTGAAGGTTCCAACATGCCGAACGAATGGCTGAGCACACCGTGGCTGGACGGCTCCGCAGAGCCTTCTAAGTTTCATTTCCTTGGTGCCTCCCAGCCTCTCCTGACCTCTGACCTCCCAGAGTATTGCCAAATTGCCTTCTGTTTGGACCAGGTCCCAGCACGTCGCTGCGCGCTTCCGACCCCCTGAGTGGCTGGTACTATCTCCAGGCTACAGATAAGGAAACCCGGGTTCAGAGAGGCCGAGGGACCTGGGAAGGGCGGGCCGTGAGGGTGGCAGGGGGTGTGGAATCCCGGATCCGCGCCGTCTGCAGCCCGCGGCCACGCAGGCCAGCTGGAGCCAGGCCCGCTTCCTCCCGTGCCCCGCGCCCCTAGAAACGACCCAGCAGGCACAGTCATCACTTGATGACGACTTCCTCCATGTGCTGGGTCTCCACCGCTTTTCTCGAGTAGAAGCGGTCAGGGGCCCCGATTTTCAGACGGAGAAATGGGGACCCTGAGCGAAACAACTTGGCAGGGCCACCCTCAACAGTGCCCAGACACTCCACGGGCTAAAACTTATCCACCGGGAGGGGTCCCAGGGGCATCGCGGACATGACACTGAAGGTGCGGGCCCCGGCCACGCTCCCCGGCTCCGGGCGCCGCAGCCGGGGAGCCAGGGAGGCGCCGGGGCGGGTGCCAGGGCGCCTGGCCGTCCGGGCCGGAGGTGTCCGCTCCCGCCCGGGCCTGGCACCGCCGGCCCATTCATCGTGGCCGCGGGCGGGGCGCGCCCGGGGTGTCCGGGTCCCCCGGCCGAGCGGCCGAGCGCCCTCGCCCCGGGCGCCGCGCGGCCCCGCCGAGGGAAACCCTGGCCCAGACCCCGCCGCCAGGGGGAGCAGGGAGCCGCCTCCCGCACTCCGGGAAGTTGCCACGGCGGCCGCCCGGGCGTCCGAGCCCCGACAGCCCCACGCCCTGGCCTCTCGCACGGCGAACCCCG